GTATCTCTTGGGCGCCGCCAGCCAGTGTTTGCCCTGCCCAGTGGCGGCTGTTTCAAGGGGGGGCAAGCGCCCCTTAATTTGCCCCCCGGTTGGTACGCCCATGTGAATGAGCCAACACGCGGCTCTGATGTGGACAAACGCAGACTTGTTTTGTAGACAACCTGTGAGTAAGTGTACACCGTACCGTACGCCATTTACGTTGGAAACTCGCGCCGTTCCCTTCGCCCGTGAGAAATATCAGATCTTGGAAAACAAAGTTTCAAAATGTCCTACTCCCTTCCACTTCCATAACCATCAGCGAGACAGTCATGGGTTTTCGTGACGTGCTTAGCTTTCATTTTATTGCCCATTAATATAATAGAGGATGCGGTTCCAGGGACTCAATGATCCATTCAAAAGCAACCATGCAATGACAACTTTTTTTCCTCCTTTTTCCTCGCGGTTTTTTTTTTTCTTTTCCGGATGGCAAGTTTTGGTTACGTAAGTGTATATACGCTTCCCGCTCGTATCAAAACAAACCAATCAAAGTTATAAGCACTCATGCCTCATTCGCGTTCCCCGCTCTCCTATTCCTCAAAGACTGACTCAAATCTCCTTATTTATTTCTGTGTGCGTACGTGCGTGCGTCTGTATATGTGCGTGTGTATGTGTGTGTGTGTTTTTCCTCCTTTACTTTATCTTTACGGCGCTTTTGAAATGTACAGATTAATTATGCTAACGTTCCGCTCTTTAGAAAGTAAATTTCGCGCATAAAAATATACCGGGAAGTCTAACGCGCCGTACAAAAGACAGTGCACAGACACTGTCTGGAGGTGCGTTTCTCTCTTGTATAGGACGCGGTCCTGACGCACAAGCCATCCAAAGGAAAAGTAAAAAAAAAAACTGTCTGCGAAGACGTTGGAAACGTACACACGTGCACCGAAACTAGTGCACGCTTTGAACAGGCTCAGCTGGTGCGTCTGCAGAGGTAATTCTTTCCCAATCTCTGCAACAAACACCGCGCGTCTTTCTGTGCGATGTAACGCACGATTTAATTCGAACATCGATTATGTAAGATTCTGAGATTTATACGTTTTAAAGATTAAAAAAAAAAAAAAAAAAAAGATTGTCACTGGCAGCGTAAGAAACTGGGGGTGCGTCGAGTTTCTTATGTATCTTACTTTCGCTCTGCAGGCTGCAGCGTAATAAATGGCGTAATAAAGATTACGCTATTTGCCGATAAAAAATCGTTTAAAAACGAAATCACGAAGCTATATACTGTATATGTGTAGGAGTACGCATATAATAAGCTACGTTTGTAAAGTCGGCAATGCCTTTGGTACTTTCTTTAATCTAACGAAGCCAAAAAAAAAAAATATTCCGACCGTAAAAAAAAAGAGTATTTTTACATCTTTCGCCACAAATACTACACCACAAAAACTTCAGTTCGACGTGTACAGCACCCTGGCGTCGAACTGACTGTCCCAAATATTGTGGGGGACTCAATAATGGTGCGAAATAACTTATTAAACAGCTAAAGTATGTAGCAAACCCTTAAAGAAAGAAAACGAAAAAGAAAAAAAAAACAGGTTTTGCTCTAGGGCCAAGTAAACCCTGATTCTATATATATATATATATAATTTTTATTTATTTTTTTCAGTCACAGGTACATTAGTTTTTTCTGTTTTTTTAATAACTTTTATTATTCGGTTATCAATCCGCTCGTGAAAGTTGGTACCGTCGGTTTTCAACGTCTGTGTGCTGTATGTCCAACTGAAGTTTTAGGATGTAGTGTATGTAGCAAACAGTGTATAAGACTGAACTTTTTTTTTTTAAGTGTGCAGAGTTGTTTACAGCTTTAGAAACACAAGGTATACGGCTTACTACCTTGCCCCGTCTTGCTTCGTGATTGGTTCTTAAACGTTCTTATCGGCTAACGCAGCATTCTCATTGGCTGCGATCCGATAATGAGATGCTCACTGTCAGTGGGTGTAAATAGAGAGAGGGTTTCTGTTGCAGGCGTATACGCTAACATTGCAGCTTTGCTTGACGCGATAGGATAATATAGATAGCCTGTCTGATTAGATAAGCGGTATCTTAAACCGAAAGTAGTCCTTATAATTTTTTATATATATATAATTTTGATAGAGTAAACACAGGCAATAAATCATTAGCTGGGGGTAAAAATAGGGAGGGGGGAGGTTAGGACTTCGCAGAGATGACAGTAATTCACGTACTATGCACCGAGAAAGTGTGAGAGAGAGGAGGACACGAGGGAGCGCGGGGTCGTCAGAGAACGACGAGCCCTGATTGGAAGGATTAGTGGGTACGACTACATAAGGTTTCACATAATTTAAAAAAAGTGGCTAACCGGTTCAATGTGCCAATGGTTTTTTCAGCGCCTCAAAAATTAACACAACTTTGCCCGCGCGTAAAAAAGGCAAGCAGTAACAAGATGTCATGTATACGGTTAAGCATGTCAACAAGTTCGTGGATTGCGTTGTGGGTGTCATCTACAAAATTCCGTTGTCATGCGGACGGGTTTACATAGGACAATCGGGACGCTGCGTCAACGAGAGAATGCGTGAGCATGCGAATTCCCTGCGGTCAATGACCGGAGGTGAGGTGCTGGAGTGGAGGCGCATGCTATCGAAAAAGCTGGCGCGGGGCACTGTGTCAGCCAACCTTCTGTTTATCTTCACAAAAAAGAGATAGATTTAATAGATGACTGGTGAGCGACACGCCATTAGTTGTTTCGGCGTTGGTTGGCTGTGTGGTGTTTTCTTGTTTGAGCCGTTTTTAATAAAACTTCAGTTGATAGTCAGCGCTTGTCCTGTGCTCTTCTCTCGTCGTCTTCGTCTTTTTGCGCGCTGTTTCCAATTGCCGAAAAAAAAAACGCCTAAGGATAGCGGTCTTTCTCTCCACTGCACTCCCCGAACGCGTTAAAACGCAGAACGCAGGTGTCCGGTGTTTGGCTCTCGCATTCGAACGCATTCGACGAGTGCAATGGAGACAAAGCCGGCTAGCTTCAGGTGTACCCACTAATCCTTCCAATCAGAGCTCGGCGATCTGGCGTCCCCTCCTCTCCCTCTGTTTCTAGCCGTATAGTTTTAGCGTACAGAGTTCAGTAAGTTATCATTTGTAGTCGATCATGCCAGCACTGTTAATAACCACACAATCGATGCCAGCTTTTCATGATAGGCCGAAAAATAAAGCTAAGACCTAATATTTGTAAGATTGTGTTTTCAACAGTAGTACCACAAGCTGCAGTCGTAAGGGAAATTAATTGCCATACATCATACATTTGAATTAATATTCAGTTCCATCCACCAACAGGAGATAGTAGTGTTCTGAGATTTAATTGTGTGAACGTCAGAACCGCCTGGATATTTTTCCGTGTTTTTGGTGTTTAATTTCGTTTCAAATTCGGAAAGGTCCTTTTTTTTTTTTTTTTTTTTTTTTTTGGGGGGGGGGGGGGGGGGGGGGATGGGGTTATTTTTTTATAGATTTGGTTTTTTGAGTTAATAAGTTATAACGTAACGAATTTACATAAAAAACACCGAAACGATAGAAAAAAAATGCGCGGCCCTCTTCCCCCCCCCCCCCCCCCCCCCCAACCCAAATAAAAAAAAAAGAAGTTAACACCGAAAACACGGAACTCTACTTTTAAACAACGGAATCGTCGGCAAATATAGCGCGTGGGTCAAAGGGATCAATGGCCCTTTGAAAAGACGGCACGAAAATCGGGAGCTTAACGTATCGCGCTGGGATTTACTACAGAGGTGTCCGAAGTTGGTGGATGCTTTCGCTTAAATTTTGGAAAGATTGGCTTACCCGACTAAGTTAAGAAAAATCAAATATTATGTTTTTCCTGTACTTTGCATGACTACAAAAATATTATGTGTTACTGTGGCACTTATTTTGAGCCAAAGTAAGTGAAGAATAGGTAAGCCAATTCTATTTCAATTTCAAACATTTCTTTAATCGTAGTAAACGCTAGAATACCCACACCGATTTTCTGGTGATTTCGAGATAATTTCTTCATGGGCAAAACCAATTTTTATTTCTTTCTTTTGACTACGGTGGTTCCATATATTCATACTCTCAATTAATAGATGCACCAGCTTCGAGCACCTCTCTAGTAAATCCCAGCGCGATAAATTAAGAAACCAATTTTTGCGGCCTCTTCAAACCGCCATCGATCTATTTGATCCACGAGGTATGAATGTGGAAATTTGCTTTGGTAAGTTCTTACGATCAGAATTTAAAAAAAAGGGAAGGAACCGGGGCAGAGGTGGCACTCTGAAGTCAACAGTGACCGACATAAAGTGATTGACTTTTCCGGCTATACTCTGCGACTTTCAAGTCAAGATAAAATATTTTTATAAATAATGAGTATGGGCTCCACTTATGTAGTAAGCGTTCGTAGGGCGTCCCATCAAAAGCCTTCGAAAAGTCCATGAAGATGCACTGTCTGAGATCCGTGGTACAGAGCTGAGTGAATGTTGTAGTTCAAAACTAAATGCTAGGTATCGCGCGGTAATTATTGACGGAATTCATGTTGAGTAGGTATACTCCCAATAACTTCGTAATCAATATGTTTTATCTATCGTTTTTATTACTTTTCATCATTTATTTACAAATTGCGTAGAATAGGTTTCATCACATATTTCTTATTGCATCGCAAAATAAAGCCTCTCTCGAAAAAAAATGCAAACACATCAAGGTACTTTAATAGCAAAGGCTTTACGGCGATCTCATAACTTCCACGGAGTGTCGTGGGAGATACGTGCGCAAAAGCTTGGATCAGAAGATAATACTGTACTTGTACCACCTTGTGTGTTGTTCTGCCACATATACATGTGGCAGAACAACGCGCGCGCCTGACTGCGCCTCCTGGTAACGCTTCAAACAACTTCACGAGACGCAGACTATATACGCGGCCAAGACGGCCACGTGTTCCCTCATCAATCAAAATCGGTCACTCCGACGACCGTATCACATCAAAAGTTTTGACTCACGATGTCGGTGCACAGCTTGGAGTCGTCGTAGCCGATGCCAGTGAAACTCGTCGTCACATTCACTGCCGCCCGCACACTAGTCAGCACCAAACCGGGAATGAGCTGCGCGAGCACCGATGACGTCATAGCCGACGTCGGATAGTCAGATCACTATCGAAATCTATACTACCCAATCTATAACATCACTTGGGTCAGCCTAGAATCGGACATGGACGACCTTAAATTCCTAAGGGGTGACTCCCACGAGAAGAAAAGAACAGCACGAGGTACGGATTCGAGCCTCTCTGGCGGCAGAACACTTTCTGCCCCTGCTTTCGCGAGGAAGGAACGACCTGGGGCAGCCACCGCTTGCCGCTATGTCGGTTTCGTTTTTTCCCTTTCCCGATCGTAGCCGGCCTCCCTTTCAAAGTCGCGCGTGCGCTCGCGGTCACAGCTGACCAATCACGGCGTATAGAAGAACGAAAGTGTGCGCTGCCAAGCGGCTGCGTGGTTGGATTGAGCCGATGCCAAGTTTGTCGACTTCACCCGTGGTTGGGTTCACCTTCGTCGGAGGAATCCGGAAAACAGAATTTCTGCGTCGTTCGCACCCTTTCTGGTACACTTTATATCAGCGCTGGAGATCTTCCCAGAGGCATAGCATATTCTATCGAAGAGAAAACAGCGAGCTACCTCGCTAAATGGAAATACTCCGTTTTTCTTTCGGACCGACGGCACAGAAACGACGAAAACGGTGACGATGCACTTTTTGGGACTGCTTGATTAATTTCATGTGGACGTCTTCTGCGGTCGGACTTATCGATTTTCTTTTAATTATTATTGTTGTTATTATTTTTTTTTTGCGCAGCACTCGCTTCAGCGAAAAGCTGCGTGCTGCGTAAACATCGCACGATGAGCGTGTCACTGAGAACTTACACGGCGCATATGAATGACGTGTAGGTGTAAACATACGGGTCTCCAGAGAACTTGTTTGAGAGGGTGCGTTGGCGCATTTAATGTTACTTATGCA